GCTCTATCTACAGGCCCAACTGGTGGTTCTGTGCCTTCCCGTACTCTCTTCTCATCTTTATTTATGATGAAATCAGAAAGCTCATCCTTAGACGGAACCCCGGAGGTAATCAGGAAACTGCAACCTTGCTCTAATCAAATGTACTCTATTGTTGGATTTAAATGAATAGTATACAAATGTATGTCTAAGTAGTGTATGAGTGCATCATTTTATATTTTTCAACTGTAAAAGTAAAAATAAGTTTTATTTTTTCTTTCTTTGCAGGTTGGGTGGAAAGAGAGACATACTACTAGACATCTATAGTGTTGGCACTACTTCTGTGTGTTATCTTTGTGGTGTTAAAGTAGTTTTGCTATTCTGAATTTAACCTGTACATTTTAAAATATTTTTATATAGAATTATTTTAATACTAAAATCCTGCTGCCATGCTAAAGATAGACTTGAAAAAAAGTTTTTAATTGTGTAACTTGAATAAACTGTCAACTTGACTAAAATGTGGTCTCATTCAATAACTTGATGTTGTTGCTGGTCTGTACTACATATCCTAGTGTAATTCATAGAAGTTAATTTATACCTGCATATAAAGTATTTCTAAATTTAAATGTTTAAGAACACAGAGAATATACTTGACAGAAGCCGTGTAAAAAATAAGAGACAGAACAAGGATAGGTAGAATTAGTTTTTAAATTTTTTTATTTAATTTGCTCACTGGATGGTTCTTTCAAGATTGATAAAAGCCTAGTAACCCAGAAGAATAGAATCATGTTGGCATGGATACACAGCAGTAGTCCTAAACTATTTCATTCAGAATTTAAGGAATAGAATGTGCCTCTATTTTCCTCTCTGTCCTTCATCATTTACAGGCCATTGGAATGTTAAGCCACTTTCTGCTTTTTGTTATCCTGCAGTGGTGTTTCCGTTGATTTGGCATAATACGTTCACCAAAAGTGAAGCAAACCACTCATTTCCCCACGTAAGATACACAGTAATTCAACTACTTTTTTGACTGTCTCATAAATCGTGACTGTATTGTACTATGTACTGTATGATTTGTTTTGAGTATGAACAACATGGACGGGCAGTGTCCCCTTTCCCCTTTCAACTTCTAGATCAATACTTTTCAGCCCACTGTAGATTGTGATTCACTGTGTATTTTTTTTTACTTTTTACAGCAAATAATATGTTAGGCCTAATGGCAGAGAGGTCATCTGAGGGAAACTGTAGTATATGACTGATATGAGGCTATGCATAGTGTAGGAATATGCCTGTCAAAAATTATACAGATTTTTCTTTAAAAAAATTGCAAATAATGTTAACTGAATATTATTATTAACTATATGATTCATATGTATTGCTGTTATGGTATTTTCCATCCCTTTTTGGAGCTTGACAGCTGTGGTCTCTCTGAACTGTTGTTGTATGGAAAAGAGCTACATGAACATTCTTTAAACATTCTTCTTTTGTGTTCCTTTAACACGCCCAGTTAAAGCCTAAAAGGCCTCAAGAGCTTTTTTCCATTGTGCAGGTCAATACCTTTATTAACCTAAAGCACTGAGTTTAAGCCCTAGCTTTTGTCTTAATCAGAATGTCGTATAATATTGTTTTCCACTAAATGTGACTTGGCGGTAACAGCATCACTCCGATAACCTAGAGAGAATAGAGCTTTTGTTGGATTGAAAATGGGACTTGATTCGGGGGTCCATCGCTCCGTGACAAGAATAAAGTGCAGCTCTAAACAAAAAGCTCAGTGGTGAAATTGTAATTTAATTTCTCCGCTCTGAGACAACCACATAATCATGGGGCAGGAAAGCACAGTTGTATCATGAAGTTCATGTAATCAATGTAATAGTTGACATATTGATAATACTATTATAATAATGCTGTTTATGCTTGGAAGGATTGCCACTGGAGAGATAAATTCGAATGTTGTGCTTCTGTAGCAAGGGTTCTTGGCAGTATGTTTGGTTATTTCATTATTTATATGGCTTTTTGTGTTATAAATGTGAAAATATGGTCTGCTGAATAGTTTGCAGTGTAGGATGAGGCAATGATCTAAGCTACATGTACAGACCTTTAACACGTTTTGTGGTCAGGTTCAGGTCAGGATATATTTGGAACTTGAGCAGTTCAGTTATTATGCGTATTGATCATATTTTCTGTCTCCTGATGGGTTGTGCAAGAGAAAGACTAACTATGCTGGATACAGAGAGAAGAGTCCCTAATTAAACCTCAGGGAAAATGCTAGTCTGACAGGGATTCGAAGAGACCTGACCCTGTTCTATCATGGCAAGATTTCACAGGAACCATGGTAATTGATGCATCAGGATTCAGGATCGATGCTTTTTGTCTTCGAAGTCCATCTGCATTTGGTCTGACAGCTACATTGCTAACTGACAGTTTACATGGTATGAGCTTTTATCTAATCATTTTCTGCTAACCAATAATGACTGCA